CAATAAATAGGACAAAACATCTGGGAGCTATCATTGAAAAAGTTCCTGAGAATCCCCTAGTTCCATCATTTCACAGGGCTTAACGAATCAGGTTAAGCCTACCATGGAAGGTATCCTCCGGGGTGATTTTCAGGGTAGCCACAGATGTGAGCCCCTCCCAGAGTCTGCAACAGCAAGCGTCTCTCTAGCCCCACCAGCCACATTGTATAGCGTGGCCTAGAACATGGCTGTGAGGCCCTGCAGCCTGACTATCCCCAGGGCAGGAGCAAGGGGCAACACTGAAGCACCGGAGCCTGGAGCGGCATTAAGGAAAGAAGCAAGGGGGCAACAGAAGAGCAAGTGAGATGAATGCTGAGTAATTCAGAAATGCCCTTACAAGAGAAGCAAAAGCCTCTGAACAAGGCTGCCTGATGAGCAGAGAGCTGGGACCTGTCCCCGTATGGCAGGTGTATGTCACTTGATTTATATTCACCTCAGCAGAAGGACACCAGCCCGGCATGATTTGTTCCCTGCAGTTTAGTTGTTCTTTATGATCCAGACTGCCAATCTGTCATACAGTAACGCCTACGCTTGTCTCACGGGGTCTACTTTTTCCTCACACGGTTAGAAATCTGAAGTGTGAATGCAACAACTACAGGAGCCGTGTTCGGGCGTTCAGGTCTTCATACAGTGAGAATGGCATGCAGGGAAAGCAGGGGCGCAATAGCTCATCCCGCCCCCTCCATGGCAAGATCTCTGTTGCCTCCCCACACTTTGTGGGAAACAGAGAAGACACTGGTCAAGGATGGGAACCCCCCCCCCAACAAGCCTTGCAGAACCGCCCTTGATGAGGAGGCTGCAGGCATGGCACAAGCGCTCTGCTGTCCAAGAGGCAAGGACTCAACCCAAGGGAGGTCCTGGGGCTGGCACAGGTATCCCTGCAGGTCCACCCAGCAGGCAAGGACACAAAGATTGTCCTTCTTGATCCTGAGGGAATATATGCAAATCTATAGAGCCAGCTAATACCTTCCTTAGGACCAACCAATCCACAGAATTGTACAAGCTTTCAGGTTGCACAAAATGCTTCAACAGGCAAAATGAAATAAAATAAGGAATAGGGAAAGAAAGTCCAAAAAAATGCAAAATGATCAAGTTGTAGGGTGGGTTTTTCAGAAATCTAAACATGCATAAAATTAGGTAGTGATACATGTTGCAAGCATTTGATTACAACTAGCGATGACTTGTGTGACGTAGAAGCAATGGGTGATCTTCCTCTCCAAAAGCACATAGGGCTGCTTGCAAACTATCCTACAGATCTATTGAAAGAGGAGCCAGATTGGCAGCTGGCTCTTGGGTGCAGACTTGATGGCAGCTCCATATTTGCAGTCCCATAAAAGAATTGACTGCATACTTACAGCACCATAATTAATGAACGGCTCCTCACCATCACTTACTATGGTTATGCTGTTTAAACTCAAGTAGCTGCCTGTATTTCTAGTTATCTATCACCCAAAAGGCAGACACCCTCAAGGTGGTTTACAATTATGAAAACCCAAACCGAAAATAAAACAAGGAGAGTTGTACAAGGGACATGTGTTTATGATCAACAGAGTGCCGTGTTGCTTTGAGCATGGGAAGCAAAAAGAATAATGTATGTGAGTAAACATAATGGAGCTGAATCCCTGAGAATCAATAACAATCTAAAAGCAAAAACACAATCTTGGCGGTTTATGAAGAGAACGACTTCAGTATTTCTTTCCATACAGCTGTAATGTATTTCTGACTGTAATTCTGCTTGTGGTTAATTAAAACGAATCATCTCTCAGTCTTGTGCAAATGTATCTTTTTCTCCTTACACTACCTGGCATTTGGCTGAATGCAAGCACTGTTTTCACTTCTAATCGCTTTTGCTTGCACTTGTGACCTAATTAATTAGCAGTCCAACAGCAGTTTTAAAATACTCCACTGGAACAATATTTCATTTTAGAGAGAGACAGGAGGAGGGAAACACAACCAACTTAAATATGCAGAATAAACTGTCCACACAATAAGCCCTAATCCTTGTTCTTTAAGAGGTACATGAATGGCTTTGCTGTGCCATGAAAGAAGAAAGGAAAATAATATCAAAAGCTTACTTGTCAGTCTGTCAGTTCACAATGAACTGAGCCATTGTTCTGTCCTAATATGAGGCACAAGGACTTATGCAAACTACAAGAACCTATTGCAGTATGTACTTTAAGAGGTCAATTCCCCATTAGTCAAGAAGTCCTTTAACCTATGAGCTATTGAAAACACAGATAATTGAGATTTCACATGCTTTTTTGATGTGTAAACTTATTTATTTGTTTGTTTAAAAAGCTGTTACAGCCATTCTGCTCACATGTACCATTCTCTCTCTTTTTTTTAAAGTACATAAATGGCATTATGTAATTATGAGGAAGTTGTACCAGGTGCAATTCCGATTTTAAAAATACATTCCCAGAAGAAAAAATAAGGCATTTTCCATTTGTTTCATAAATGGATACATTATACTTAATACTGAAGTCCTAAAACAAGCAGGGTACAGTCCTCACACAAGCGTCTCCTGCCAGAGACCAGTTAACATCTTGTTTACACTACTGAAGATGAACTGGCTAATGCACTGCGACTTCTCCTGCCTTAAAAATTTTTCAACCCAAAACAAGTGTCTCATGAGTGCTTCATCACACATATTGCCCCTGGGCATGGAGAGGCCCATTAGCTTCAGTGATACTGCTGCACATGTACAGGAATGTGAACAGGAGACGGCTTCCCCCATTCACAGTAGCAGAGCTGCTATCCTGGGCAAGGGAGCTCCATACCTGGGCCTAGGTGGCTGCCATTCTCATTTCTGTAGAGCACCATCATGATCAGGCTCTGAGCTATACCACACTCCAGAGAAATCACAGCTGCAGGGGTTACTGCCACATCTGGATCTGTGGCTTGTGGTTTTAAGTTACTTTTATAGCAATTTAAGGAAGCAGATTCAGAAGACCATCCTGCCCATTTTAAGGGACATTTCAGAATAAATCAAGGGCTGGAAAAATGCATGTTTGGGCCATTTGTGTATAACTGCTCAGTGAATTCTAATTAGGCAACTGAGCTGTTTGCCATCTGGGATTTTTTGAGACCAGTATCTCAACTGCAGACTGGCCAATCTTCCCAGGAACACTCTGACAAGATCATGAGCAAAGGAGGTGTAATGACATATTGTGCCCATGGATGAAATGGTTTGCTCTGTTACCACACGATGTCATAAGAGAAAGCAATGATGCAACCCACTTGCCCCAAAAGGAAAGTAAAACTTCTCCGTGTCTAATCCTCTTCTCTGTCTAGAAAGTGGTAAAGGTTATGATATTTCAAAAATGAGTTGTGCTGAGTGGGGGAAATTACACAACTTTTGTTTATACTGCATTTACTGCAAAAAGATGCAAGAAAAAATGTATTAACATATTCTAAACAATAGTGCAAAGGAAAAAATAAATACCAGTCCAGGCCCTGGTTCCTTTCTAAAATTTGCCACAGAATTACTGCGGTGCTGATGGACAATTTAGAAGGTGGCACTACTCTCTGGATAGCAGTCTGGAATTCAACAGAAAGGCTTTCTTCCCACTGTAAAATTCTTCTTTTTTTAAAAAAAAATGTTAAATTCTGTGTTTAAAACATTCTATGTAAATGTTTGTATCAGGTCTTCCAAGCATAAAGCAAAGTCAAAATTGTAAAGAAGTAACACCTCTTATGATAAATGCTAAGCCATCATGTTCTTCCAATAGGTATTGTATTTGACAGCTCTGTGTTGCCTGGACTGCCTGACAAATATTTCAAACCTAAGAGGCACTACCTAGATTGGATGCCTGCTCTGACTGAATTAGTGAAGGTGTGGCAGTATGAAAAAGGGCCATCTGTTATGTCTGAAACGATGCCATCAGTCCACCAAATAAAAAGGTTCCCTAAAAATTAGGAAGCCTTCCCCAAACTGGTGTTCTGCAAGTGGATTGGTGCACAATTCCATCATCCCCAGTCAATGATGCCAATTGCCTTGCTGGATGGGGATTAAGGGAATCATCGTTCAATCCATCAGGAAGGTACCAGGCTGGGGAAGAGGAGTCTGACAACCTTATGACTGTGAATATAAGTACTTTTTACCACCATTCCCCACACGAGAGTCACTGTGAGCTGTTTTAACTGACAATATTGTCATAATGCCTGTCTCAGCCTGGCGTCTTATACTTGAGGGCACAGGAATGGGGGCAATGGATTTAAAAGATGTCCCTGAATCCCCTCCTCCACTTTATAATCTTCAGGTTATTAGCATGTTGGAACAAGGAGGTAGTGGACTCTTCTGAAGAAATCAGTTAACAAAATTATTAACCCTTTTTCCTGTGCCATTAGGAATTCTTACATATCACAAACAACAGAATTATACCATTCACTTTCTTCTTCTTCTATGTTCCTTTCTAATATTCACTGAAGGACAAAACAAATAAAATTGCACCAAATCTAAAACTGGAAGAATGAAATGGACATTTCTGTCATACCAAAACAAAAAAAGAAACCCACCCCATCCCACCAAAAAGTGTTCTCGTGCTTGAGAGAAGTTTCCCCGTGCAGCACAGCTAGCACAAATGAAAAGGTGAAAAATCAATGTAAATCACATAACAGTGTAAAGTAAAACAAAAGGTTTCATCTGTCATATTATCTATTTACAGCCAAAGTTAGAGGAAATAAGTTAGCATTGAACATATATCAGCAGAAGGACATAGAGGGAGAAGTACTTTTTATTAACCCTTAAAGATCCCAATCATTTTTGGGTACCACATGTTAGAAAGCAGCTTTTATGCTGGTTGTGGCACTTTTAATATTTCCTTTTAATAGTAGTTTCTTTTGGTTGATGGCAAAATAGGAGATACAGTCTTTTAACATTACTCCATAGAAAAAGACAACACAAACATGAAATAGAACCAAAATTACATGGAGGGAGTACAATAAAACACTGGCCATTGTCAAGTTTATGTTACCAGTTTTATAGCCCAAACTCCAACACCACATTGGAAATCTCAGTCTTTAATACTATCATATTTTAAGATTGATGAGAAGGCTCCAGTGGTCCATTCAGATGTTTTGCTTTGTTTTATACATATACTTCGACTTCCCAAGTAATAGTTAAAGCGGTTTCAGAGCGGATTTCTCCTACAAAAGTTAAAGATGTACAGAATAGATCTCAAACGTGCAATACTGTAGTTTTACAAGGATTTCAGGGACATGGGGAGGAGGCAAATAGAAAGAAAGTGGTTTTGAAAGATATGACTTCTTTCAGTTCTGTTCCTTTCCCCACCCAGTTGGTTTGTTTCAGTTTGCAAGAAGTCAATTTTAGAAGTGTACAGAAACAATACATACAAACAGGTCTTTAAATCCATCACTGAGCAGGAATCTATCTACTTGGATTGAGGCTTTGCATTAATGTTTTAATCATTTCTTCTCACCTGAAGTCTTTGAGGAGTCAAAGCTCAGTAATCAGATTAAGAGGTCAGCCACTTCCACAATCCAGCCAGAGCAGAGCCTGAGAAAAACAGCAAACAAAGCCAGGCCCTTCCTCACACAATCCTTTTTCGGTCTATTCTGCAGAGGATCTTTTTAAAGGATCTCCTGAAGTCGTGGTTGAAAATAGTGTAGATGACAGGGTTCAGGGAGCTGTTGCAATAACCAAACCAGAAGAAGAACTTGAAAAGGGTATCAGGTACAAAACAGCTCTTGCAAACAGCAGTCAATGTGTAGGTGAAGAAGAACGGAAACCAGCAAACCACAAATACCCCTATCACTACTGCAAGCACAAAGGTGAAGCGCTTCTCTCTGTTCTGCCTGCCCCTCCATCGGGAAGCTTTGGCGTTCCTCTCCTCCTCTGATCGACTGGGCAAGCTGTCCCCAGGCTTGATCTGGCTTAGCTTGGTTTTCCCCTTGCCTCTCTGTGGCCTCTCTGGTTTCCTGGATGGATGATTCTCATTGTGTTCGGAAGAGGAGGTGTCCTCCAAGTCTATGCCATTGACTTCTTCCCTTACCTGGCTCCCTCCTGCCACAGCCGCCGTCTCCCCATTCAGTTTGGTCGCGGCAGGCATGTCCTCCTTGTCAGCCAGCCCATTCTGCCTCCTCTCTACGGCCTCTCCTCTCTTGCCGGGAGGCACGCGAGTTCTCCTCTTTGCAATCTGGTAGATGCGGACATAAACAAGAATCATGATAAGGCAAGGAGCGAAAAACGAACCAATGCTGGAAGATATGATGTACCATGTCTCCTTGTTGATACTGCAGCTGGGTAGCTTGCTCTCTGGTTTCAACTCAGTTTGTTCACTGAGGGGACTCTCAGGCTCACCCTGCTTCATGATGGAGATGAGTGGTGGGAAGGAAATGACTGCTGAGATGACCCAGACGAGGAAGATAATACTTTTGATGCGTCGGGGTGTGCGCTTGAGGTTGTATTCAATGGCCTGGGTGATGGACCAGTAACGATCTAGGCTGATGGCACAGAGGTGTACAATGGAAGAGGTACAGAACAGTACATCCAAGGCCAGGTAGATCTCACACCACACCTTGCCAAAATACCACTGACTCATCACTTCGTTGGCCAGAGAGAAGGGGATGACCAGGGTGGCCACCAGGATGTCAGCGGAGGCCAAGGACACCAGGAAGAGGTTTTGTGGGGCCTTGAGCGCCCGGCTAGTGAAGACAGCAATGATGACCAAGACATTGCCAAAGATGGTGACGAGCATGAGCAGCGTAGCGAGGCAGATGAGAACCAGTGTGGTGGGTAACGGGTAAGGAAGGCTGTCCTTCTGCCCACCATCACTCCCATTCAGGCTCCTGTTGCCATCCATGTGCTGGAGGTGGCTGTTTCCCTCCAGTGGTGGAGAGTGCAGGTGTGCCAGGGAAGAGATTCCCCCTCTCTCAGTGAACGGGCTCTCCAGGTAAAACATCAACCCCGGCTCTGCTGCTTGTTGACCCCCAAGACACACCCAACTAGGAGAGGGAGAAGCAGAGACCACGGAGCCTGGTGGATCTGAGCAGCCTGATCTTTCTCGCAGAAAGTGGAGGCACAGAGAAGTCTTAATCCAATCAACTGCTGCAACAGCTGCGTTCAGCTTCCACAGTCCCCACCGCTTTACTCTACTGATGCGAGGCGCAGCTACATAAAGGGAAGGGGGTCGGCTCCGACCCGGCGATGTCCGCCGGATCTTCCTTCGGCCAGCAAAGCGCGGATCACTTCTGCCCTCCCCTGCCCAACTAGATCATCTCCAGGCAGATCGGTGGGGCGAAGAAGCGCCCTCCTTCCTCATCTCCCCCAGCCTGTAAGGGGAGGAGGACTTCTTAAGAGACCGTGCTGGGCAGACAAAAGTTCCTCCTCTTACCTTCGGACTGGAGAAGGGAGGGCCCCAGAGAGGGGCCAAGACGCGCGGTGGGGCGCCAGGCGCTTCCTCTCCCAGCAAAGGCGATCCGAGACCGGCGGGAGGAGGAGGAGGAGGAGGAGGAGGAGGAGGAGGAGGAGGAGGAGAAGGAAGGGGCGGCAGATAAATGCCACTCAGTCCCGGTGCGCGTGGGAAAAGGGAGGAGCGGCTCGCCGGACCGCTGGAGCCGAGAAGATCTCTCTGCTGGTCGCGGAGCCGGTGCTGCCCGCTCAAGCGCTGCCTTCCTGGCTCCCGGTTAGCTTTATAGCCCGGGATCGGTCCGGCGGAATCAAGCAGCAGCGTCAACGCCACGTGGGGACAGCCCCCCGCGCGCTTCCCCGCCTCTGCCTCGCCAGCGCGCCGCGCTTTCGCTCCTCGGGGAAGGAGAGGCGCTCCGGCCCGCTGGCCCTGCCGCCGCCTCCAGCCCGAGGACCGTGCCCGCTTTTCCCCAGCGGCGCGCTGGCCCGCCCGCCCGCTCGCTCCTGCCGGGGCGCGACTGCTCGCTCGCTCGCTTCCCTCGCGCGGAAGCGCCGGCGACACGCCTCGCCGGCCCGCACCTGGCGCCCCGGCACCCGCCCCGCCGGGCCGCGCGCGCCCTTCCGCACAGCTCCCGGTTGTGCGCGCCCGAGCGCACCCGCGCCGCCTCGACCCGGCGGGAGTTGGCCCGAACAAGTTGGACGAGACTGGACGGCCGGTCGCTCTCAGTGGCTGTTGGGCATAGGAGGCTCGGGAACGTCGCTTCACAGCCCTGCGCTCTACTCGCGCACTACATGTGCTTGGCACAAGTATTTGCACTCCTTACCACTCACGGCCGTGCTTCACACTCACGCCTAGTATGTACACACTGTTCAACTGTAACCAAGGACGGTGCATTCTGGCTAGTAGGGTAGAGGACAAGGGAGTCCACGGAAGGCGGAACGAGGGACGAGTAACCCAACGAAGCTCTTGGTGACAACAGGGGTACAATATACGGAATCAGTGCCTTGAGCGCGCTGTTCTCTGCTTCGGCACAAACCCGTGTCACAAAAACGCAAAGCGAAGCTGGGAGAAACAAACAGCCTGGGAGTGGGAGGTGCTCAAGACCTCAGGCACACACAAACCCACTTGCCTCCCCATCCTCTTCCTCTCCATCTTTCCCTGCTTGCTTGCTCCTTCCCACACAAACCATCTTAAATGCAACACCAGTAACAGCTACCTGAGCTGCCCTTTCCAAGCCTCCTATTTCTTTTGGGAGCTGAACAGGTGCAGATGGGAAAGGAGAATTAAAACCCAAACAAGTGTACTGATTGGGTATTGGTGACCAAAAGGGCTGTCCTGTTCACAGAACACATCTCTGGGTATTGACTGGATCTCCAGCAGCCAATTAGGCCCATATTTGGAGATCTGGCAGCCCCACAAAGAGAATTGCTGTGGCTCTGCCTCTTGCCTCTTCTTTCAGTTAGAAGTCTTGAACGCCTTAGGACAGGGGCATGGCTTCCAGGCTGCTGCCTGTTCCTTCTGCTGCATTGCTTCTCCCCAGAAATGGGTGAAGATTAGAGGATATTTAAGGGCAATGTGAGCTGCCCTTTGCAGGCCTGAAAGCTACTGAACCAGAACATACACCTGGGCAGACATGCATAGAAAGGAGAAGTTTACATGGTTTACATGCTTGGTGAGGAAATGCCCAAATGGATAAGAATAACATCTCATTCTGTTCACTTTGCTTTTTGCTATCTTGGTTGCTCCCGGTGCCTTTAGACCCACCTACTGCTAGAACGGGGCCCCAGAGACCCTTCCCAAACCTCTTAAGCATTTTGTTTGGAATTCACCTCTTAAGCATTTTGTTAAAAACCATTACCTTCCTCAGCAAGAGAAAACCAAAAGCCAGCAGCTGGGCCCAGAAACATCAGTGAACCCAGCCTTGCCCCAGGCTCAGTCACTACCAGTAACAGTAATTGAGGTCAGGAGGCTGACCTGGCTGCCAACATTAAAGGAGCGACTAGACTAGCTCGCTCTAGGTGAAGGGGGAAAATACTGGCAGTTCACCATTCCACCACCACCCCTGCCCCACTCTTAAAGAGAAATGGCACCGGAGGGATTTCAGCTAAGAGGCTCTGCACACCCCAGCAAGCTTCTGGGCATGAACCTCCTCTGTAGGAAACATAAACAGGATCCAAGGAGAAGAGAAGCCTGCATCCCACAACTAGGGACATAAACACCCTGCTTTGTGCAGATTGTCAGATTATCAGCTCTAGGAGGATCAACCATGTTCCACCCTGGCAGCCTGAATGTTCAAGAATGGATAGTGCTGATTATGATCTGCCCAGTTGTGGATGGGGCATTCATGTGCACAACCCACAATTCTATGGCAACATGTCTGATGCAAGAGCTGAGACAATGAGAACATGCGTGCCTTGTCTGCACGCACCGCATTTCAGTCTTCTTTTCTGTTTGTCATATGAGGCTAAATGCGAGCATATTTCACATTTTCTGGCAAAAATAGCTTTAGTTACAAGTATCCCATAGTCCAATGAGTTTAACATGTAGTTCTATTGAAACTTGGTTATGCCTGGGACATACTTTGAATACAATGCAAAATCAGTTTCTAAAGCACATGGATGTGTTAACACTCTAAAATGTTTTAATTACAGTTCAGTCTTCAGTACTAGTTTTTAATTTAAAATCTGCCAGGAAAGACACTTTGGGATTTATGAATAAATGATATTTCCACAACTGGCACTGGTGGGTTTGAAGTACCCACCAATGTTCATGCAATATGGGAAGGTGGATCAATTAGAATGAGTTTTCCTGTGCCTGCTGTTGAGAAATGTTGAGGGATGTTGCGTCTGTTGAAATTCAGCAGATTTTTCCTGTTCTTTTCCTTTATTCTGGGGAAAGGGGACGCTCTGCCCTCTGAACCACTTCTCCCAATTTCCAGTTTAATTGGTGTGTTTCCTTTGCATCCCCCCCCCCCCCCCATGTTACTTTGCTACCAGAAGAAGACTGACCTGGCTGCAGATACTCAAGGAGGAACTGGATTTCTCTAGGAGAAGGGGAAGGTTTTGATTTAACCATGCTTTGGTATCAATTGGGACAATTTAGTCACAACTAGTTCAGCCTGTTGATTTCAATAGGTCTACTCTAACTAAATCTGGATCCAACCCAATGTGCATAACAAAATATCAACAGTCATGATTTCAGTACCAATCTTATACCAACTGCATAGGTTTCAAATTAGTTTCTGAACTCAGTTCATTATATTTTGTTTTTAGATGTGGTTTATTTAGACGTATATCGAATAGAACTATTGAATTGCTGGTTTTCACCTAAAAAGCCCTACAGGGCTTGAGTCTAAGATATCTGCAAGATTCCTCTGATGTAATCAGAGGCTCTGTCCCTTTAGCAAGAGAAGCTAGGCTGGTAGGCATATAGGACAGGATGCCTTTTCTTTAGCAGTGCTCCAGTGGTGGAACTCCATCCCAAGGTAGATGAGATTGGCTTCATCGCAGTGCCTAACAGTGTCAGTACAAGCTCTCCCTCCACCTAAGGCAGAAGCGCATTCACATGCCATGTCACCCTCAGCCCATGACCACCACAATGGATCAGACACCCCTCCGACAACACCTGCTTCTGAGGTAAGACAGCCACCCACAGTCAGGTATTTGAGCCTAGCTAGTTCACCAGAGAGCCCTCCCACTGTCTCTCCTCGGCTCATGTGGCTCCCCAGAAACTCTGCCCAGCCGCTAGTTCATGCGGAAAGGTTCCTTGCCCTAAGCCAGAGGACAAGTGGCTCTGAGCAGCAGCTGACCCTCTCTTTCTCACCAAGCAAGTCCTGAAGAACATCCTTGCTGATGTCCAGCTGCTCTGGAGTGCCCTGCTGGCTGCTCTCTCATGGTGGCCTTCTGCACTGGCTCTCCGGAGCACCACCAGGCAGGCAGGCAGGCAGGCAGGCAGGCAGGCAGCAGCTCCAAAAGACTCTGCCAGACCCTCCTTCTGGCTGCTGTGAATGCCAGGGCTACAGAGCAGCCTCGCTCTGCTGCCTGGGAGGAATTCCCTTACCTCTTGAGTGCGTGTGCGGCAAAGACTTTCTTGTCCCACTGGCTCTTTTCTCTGATGTGTCGTCTTAAGTCTCCTACTTTTAATTGGTGGTTTCCAAACTGATGATGATGACGACGACTGTAGGAAAGGGGCAACAGGTAATTCCAGATTAATTTAAATAATTGCATAACAGGATCTAGATGAAATTAAGTAATATTTTGCCAATGTGAAGCATTAGACCTTCCTAGAGGAAGGATATAGGTACGGGCCTGGTGAAATCCCACCAAGCATTCCTCCTGGCCATGTTAGCAAATGCATGCCCATGCATCAGCAAGGGGGGCATAGCCAAATAAACGGAAAGCAAGGGCAGCTTGCATGTGGACATTTTTCTGTACAGCACTGAGTAGTTAAACAAAGAAGCAAGTCTTTTTAATGCATCAGTTCCACTTTGAAAACAAGGCACAGTAATCTGAAACTTCAAGGGAAAATAAGGATAGGAACACTTTTAGAAACCTCAATCAGTGCAGGGTGTGTGTGTGTGTGTGTGTGTGTGTGTGTGTGTGTGTGTGTGAGAGAGAGAGAGAGAGAGAGAGAGAGAGAGAGAGAGAGAGAGAGAGAGAGAGAGAGAGAGAGAGAAGGCTTTTTCAAAATAGCTCTATTTTCAATGGAACTTGCGTCGTATAATAGGCTTAGGGGTGTGCACCAGAGTAGGGTTAGGGTTAGAAAAAGGAGGTGTCCTGGCACAATTTTGATGGTTGGAATGTGTTTAGAATTGGCAGAAAGGATGAGCTGTGCAGAAGAAGCTACTCAAGAAGGCTTTTTCAAAATTGCATTATGCGCAGCGCGGCACAGAGCCAAGGGATGGTAGACAAATTGTTTGTTTAATCATCCAAAAAGAAACAAGGTTTTGAAGCAAGGAAGGGCCAGTGGTTGTACTGCTGAGATCCCCAGCTCAAAGTTATTTGCCTGCAGAGATTGCTTAGACCATA